CAGCTAGATTCTAAAATGGGGAAGAATTGTATTATCTATAAAATCAACTTTTATACAAAATAAATCTATTAAAATCATCCTATGACACATCAAAGACTTGTGGGTTTTTTCCTACAAAATCAGTGTTTCCCGTAAACACGACCATGCTTCCTCACAGAAAAGTCCCCACCCTCATGGAGGCCGCCATGCAAGATCACTTCACAACACCCCCATCGACAGGTCGGCTCAGTCTCTCAGTCCACCCACACCTGCAAAAAGGAAGCCGCGGGCAGCATGTCATGTCCAGAGAGCCCTCCCGAGAAACGGGACAGCCAAGCAGGGCTAGCACTGAAACTGGCAGCTAACACCAGAAGCACCTTCCCCGAGGCACCGCACGCCAACTCGAGAGCTCCTGATCGGTCACACCACTTACCAGAGTCGAGTGATTTACTAGCAAAGCTGAGTCTTTTAAATAACTAAACAGATGCCAAATATTCACTAAGTATCAATATCTACGCAAGACACTTGACCTTTTAACATTCAAGTTTTATCCATATATGGGGCAACTCGCAAGTTCAATGACATACACTAATTTGTTTTTTAGTTTTTAATAACTGGTTTGCTCATTATAAAAAGTAACATCCATCCATTGTACTAATTTGGAAAACAGAAAGTTTTAAAAGACTATTAAAATCACTCACAAGCCCACCATCAGAATTTACTCCACACATATATACATGGACACACACGTAGACAGGGAAATACAGAGACAGACAGACAGACGTGAGTGTACTACACTTCCTTCCAGTCTTGATTCTGTGGACAGAGGTGTGGGCTTCATGGTTTAACGAACTAGAACTCTGCTGAAGCCCAGATTTTGACCCTGCCCCTGGGAGGCTGAATTACAAGAGGGGTTCTGGTCAGAGGGAAGCCCAGCTGCCCCCCAGAGGCGCACCACGGCACAGCCTTGCCTGTGCTTCTTGTGCAGGGGACGCTCATGAAGACACACGTGGCGGGATGTTCCAGTAGGAGTCTCACACTTGCTGTGGGGTCTGGGTGTCGTGGAGCCTCAGAACACACCCCTATCACGTGGGTCGATGTCCGCCAGGTGGGCTTCTCCTGTGTGGAACTCCCCCATTCTTCTCCATTGAATCACAGTAACATAGAAGCACACAGGGGCTTCATAGATCTTCTGTGCCACTCGCTGTCAAGAGCAGGGTGAGGGCACCAAACTGTATCAACTCGCTGGGGATCAGTAAAACTATTCAAGTAACTGCTGCATGCATTTTGTTTTCATATTCTTTATAATAATAGGACCTAGTATACCGTAAATGCTAACTCAAAGTCATTATGAGCTATGACACTAAGATAATTTCTACAGGCCTAAAAGAAAGTGCCACCAAAATAATGCAAAACTTCTAAATTATACTAGGTGACATTGATAAAGAGAGAAAAAAACAAATTTCTCAAGAACTACTTTGTGGTTCTAGGGGCCCATATGCAGGCAGCCTAGCTCAGCAGCGACACCCTGTGGTGGGAGCTTGGCTTACAGCAGCAGAGTATTTTCCAGGAAGTAGGAAACAAAACCCTGAGACATCCAAGTTCTAGGACAGGTGATTCCAGCAGTTGGCAGTGCCAACATCCCTTTATGTAACGTAATCCCACAGGCGTCAATGTGATCTATTAAGGCCACAGGAAAGAAAGCTAAAGGACAACCCACTTGTATTCCCAACTCTTGGGTCTGTATCTGTAAATATGAATCCAGCAGCACGAGACTAGGTACTCAGGTGTCTGTCTCAGCCTCAGTGACATCAGGACAACCACAGCAAGAGCAACCATCTGGTCACCTCCAGAAAGGCCATCTCAGTTTATCTATTTTCAAATTCATTGGAAAATAATATTAAACTTCTGACAATGTCCTTCTTAGTAGATTCAAGGTCTTTTAAGAGAAGTTGATAAATACTAAGGAATGGATATAGTCTCGGGGCTTAGTTCAAGGGAAGAGCACTTGCCTGGCATGCAATCCCAGTACAGCAAAAATAAAAATATGTTCAAGTGTGTGCATACATGCGTATACACACACACACACACACACACACACACACACATACACACTGTTCCTTCACGGAGTGCAGCCAGAAATGAGCAAATAGGAGAAAAAAGCAGTCCACAGCAGAGACACCCAAGAAGACCAAAGCAGGACCCAACATTTCTGAGGCTGGTATGTAAGGTGGGGCTGGTAGGGAGCATTTGTGTGTCCACAGAGCAAACGCTTGCTTTAACCAGCCTCGCCTGGTTTATGAAGGGCGAATCAATATTCCCCCAATTGATCAATAATAGGGGAAAATTTTCTCCCACACCTGCTGCCCCAGGCAGTTTAAATAACTGGAAAGACAAAAATATGTTTTAAGGGGGCTGGGGATGTGGCTCAAGCGGTAGCGCGCTCGCCTGGCATGCGTGCGGCCCGGGTTCGATCCTCAGCACCACATACAGACAAAGATGTTGTGCCCGCCAATAACTAAAAAATAAATAAATAAATATTTAAAAAAAAAAAAAAAAAAAAAAAAAAAAAAAAATATGTTTTAAGGTAAGTAGACGCATAACACAAAGTTTCAGCTTGGGTATTTCCGTTATGTTACGCCCACCTAAAGAATACACCTGAATGGGCTGAGGTTGTGACTCAAAGATAGAGTGCTCGCCTAGCATGTGTGGGGCACTGGGTTTAATCCTCAGTACCACATAAAAATAAAATAAAGGTATTGTGTCCACCTACAACTTAAATATATATATATATATATATATATATATATATATATATATATATATATATACCAGAAAAGACCAGTGTTCCAAAAGTCTGCTCACAGGCCATTCTTTCCTCTCTGTTCTCAGTCCAAGAGTCCCAAGGTCCCAGTCCCGAGTCCACCATGGTCAGAGCTCCCAGGAAAAGTGAGGGAGCACTACCAAGGCCAGCCTGGTCCACGTGGGGGGGGAGCCTCGGAGCAGACAGACACTCCCTCCCCGTCCAGTCCAGCTCAGGAAAGGAGGGAGAAGCTTCAGGACCGTGAGGTCACACTCCCCCAGGACCCACAGTCCTCACCCATAGGGCCCAGCCCCTCCTCCAAGGGGCTTGTCTACAGGACCCGAAATGCCGCAGATGGCTTTATTGTGGTGTTTCTGTACAACCGAGTGGTGCTTCTCCTTCTAGTATCTGAATGCATGAAACAGATGAAAGACGGGGAATTCCGAGTTCCTGAGATGAAGGTACAAACAAAAGCCACACCGTAACTCCCCAGAGCATACATCAGGAGCAGGGCAAGCTGTCAAGAGCTGGGTGAGGAAAACACAGCAAGAGCATGTTTCTTAAACAAGAAACAATCCACTGCTGCATTTTAAAAAATATCATTTTAGTTGTCAATGGACCCTTATTTATTTATATGCAGTGCTGAGAACTGAACCCAGGGCCTCGCATATGCCAGACAAGCTCTCCTTCACTGAGCCACAACCCCAGCCCTCGTTGCTGTACTATTAATTTTTAAAATTAAACTCATTGCCTTTGGTTTTTCTAGACTAGGTGCCAGGCCCTGGTCAAGCACATTCTAAACTTTAACTCATTCAACCTCCCAACAACCTATAATACTCATTATTACATTGTTATTTAAATAATAATTCTTTATATCATACATAATGCATATTATATATAATCATATAGTACATGATTGTATTTTATTAAAATAAATTGTTGTTATGATATTATATTATTATAATAAGCTGTTATTTAATAATAATTCACATAGAACTTCCACAGATATTATTTCACTCTGTCCTCAGAACAGAATCCTGCAAGGCAGCTCTCGGGTTAGACATCTGTCTTCTCCAAGGAGCAGATGGCATCCCTCTGTAAATTCAGCTTGCCAAGGACCCGAGCGGTCAGGAAGACAGTGCCCTCTCTAGCCCCTCTGTTGGGGCGAAGGGTATGTTTTGTTCTTCTCAAGGGAGGGCAGGAGAACCCCGTGTGTACATCACTTGGGCAGCAGGGTATTTTCTGAAACTACATGTTACATCACTAAACTCAGATCCGCCTGTTAAGCGGAGACAATGGAGAGACACCCCCAAGATAATCAGATTGTCACTAGGAATAAGAAACTGACAGGCAGGGCCACGTGAGGGGACTAGCAGGAACACACACCTGTAGAATTTGGCGGCCTGCCCGAAACCCGGCTTCAACAACAGGCAGCAAATGCAGACCCGAGGCCAGAGAATCCCCAAACACATCCCCAGCTCAGGGCATTTTCCTTCTAGACACAAGTGACAGGGATGGAGATCCAGAGCACTTCTGCCACAAGATGGCAGACGTCTGCAAAACACAGGGAAGCTGGGACTTTCTCATCCAAAGGAAGGCCCAGAACAAAATAACTCGTTTTGATCCCTAACAATTATGGAGCCATCCCTCGGGATCCATGAGGGACTGGGTCCAGCATTGCCTTCCAATGCACACTGAGGTCCACAGGTGCCCAGGTCCCTCATAGCAAAGGGCAGAGTATTTGCATTTAACCTACACATATCCTCTGAATCCCCTAAATTATCTCCAGATGACCTGTCACACCTCCCACAAAGTGAGTGCTGTGTGAGTAGTATCACACTGTGTTGTCTAGGGAGTGAGGACAGGAGAGAAGTCTGCACGTGCTCAGTAGAGACAATTAATTTCTCCACTATCTTTTGCAATTGGTTGGCTACACCCTCAGATGCAGAGCCCACAGATGTGGAGGGGCACTGTTCACTCTCGACACACACAACAGGGATCCTCCCCCTAAAACGGGTCATAACCTGCAGACCTGACACCTCCTGAATTCCAGTCTTCTCCACCTCCCTTACCTACGCACACCAAAACAAGTCAGAGACACCCGCACATCAGTAAGGGGGTTCCTAAACTCAAAGTCAAAGCAGAAATGGAAAATCACAATAAAAATCAACATTAAAGCCAATGGAAACAGCCACAGAACGGGGTATGAGGTACTCACCTCCGAAGCCAATAGCAGGTACAGGGGCGTTAAGGCAGGAGCTTCTCGCAGGTCACAGCTGACACCCAGGGCCGAGAGGATCTCCTGGAGGACTTCGTATCTTCTCATGTTGCTGGATTTCAGCAGGTCGAAGTCTTCTTGGGTCTGCACCATGAAGGAGCTGGGAGGTAGTTCTAAGTGCACCTGGACAAAAAGACAACACTTGTTAAATCAAGCCACTTACAGTCTCAGAGAGCTTCTTCAACGGGTTTTCTAAAAGTGAGTGTGAATCCCTCTCCTCACCAACAGCAATATAAACTCAGGACCTGAATATCTGAAAAGTAATGGCAATAAAAACGTTGTTGTTGGTGGTGGTGGTGGTGGTGTTACTGGGGACTGAACCCGGGGTGCTCCACCACTGAGCTACTTCCCCAAGCATCTTCAATTTTTATTTTGGTGGCCATTCTGGGGGTTAACATCCTGAGTTGCCCAGGCTGGCCGTGAACTTGTGATCCTCCTGCCTCAGCCTCCTAAGTTGCTGAGGTCACAGGTGTGTGCTACCACACTGGGCGCTGGAGGGCCTCTTGCACTTGTTGCTGCCAGGCTGAGAAGCTGGGTAGAGTCAACCCTGAGGGGTTATCAAACTCTTTACAGGTTGATTTTTATCACCAGCTGTGTGACCTTGGGCAAGTCACTTTAAGTTGGTTGTAAGCCTAAGTCACCTGCAGTATCCTTGTGCTGAGCGCCTAAACGAGGTGCTACTGAGCTCACGCAGAGAGGCAGAGGACCAAGCTGAGCACTTCCACCCTGTCCGTCAGTCCAACTGGGAAGCAACCCCTGGAGGACAGCATGGGGAGCATCTGTAGGAACTGAAACACAGGGGGCCTCCTGGCCCCCCACACAGGCCTCCCCCACTGTCCTCCTCGACCTGGTGCAATTCTAAGACTCAGAGCCTCACGTGCTTACCCAGACCTGCTGTTCAGTGAAAATCAAATCCACCAACCTCTGTCTTGCACACTGGAACTTCCAGCTCCCCTGAGATCAGATTTTAGTTGTGTTTTAAAACCTAGAGCTGCCAGGATACCAGCAAAGTGACCAGAACTAGTTTGCTTTACTTGGTTTTTGTCCACTGTATGGAGACCTTCTGACCTGAAGATTAGGAAAATAAACAGCAAGGTGCCAGCCTTCGGGTACCTGCACAATTCTCAATTCCCACCTGAGCTCTGACCAAGCCAAATACTCTGTCCCAATATATTGTCTACAATGGTCCAGATGCTAACGTCGAGGCCACATCTGAAAAGGTTTGCGGAACACTGTCCAACATGGTCCCCACACTCCAGTTAGGCATCAGTGGCTGGGGCTTCCCCCACAGACTGAGCATGCCTGTCAGTGGGCAGCAGGTCCCGCCTGTCCTCCAGACAGCCCTGGGCAGGGAGAAGGCAGAAAGTGGAGCATGGGTGGGATCTGTGTACTCCTGTCTCCTTGCCCCAAGATGGGCCTCTGCTCTCAAGTGGACACAGCCAGGCTGGTGGACAAGCCGCACCACAGTGGACGACACACTTCCTTCAAGTGAGCAGGTGGCCATCCTGGGGGTTAACATGCCCAGAGTTAAAATGAAGGAGAAATAAAACAAGCACAGTTCTCTTCCCACCAGAGCTCAGGGAGAGGGGGAGGCACTGAGTGAACACACATGAATTCACTGGATGGGGTGAATACACAGAATATTCTAGAAGCTGGGGCAGTGAAACGTGCTGAACTCATCCTCACACGAGAAGGACACCGAGGGGGAATCCATCCACTGAGCCACCATTAGGCCTCTGAGTTCCAGGAGACAAGCCACTGAATGGGGAAAACACTTCTACTTACTATCTTAAGATTTTAGGCGCTGGGCCTGTGTGGCACATGCCTGTAATCTCAGCAACTCTGGAGGCTGAGGAAGGAGGATCACAAGTTCGAGGCCAGCCTCAACAACTTAGCAAGGCCCTAAGCAATGTGCTGATGGGGGCCATGGTTGGGAACTCTGCTATAAAAGCAGAACCAATCCTGTCCTGAGTTAAAGACCCTGTCTCAAAAAATAAAAAGGGCTGAAGTTGTAGCTCAGTGGTAAGCACTCCTGGGTTCAATCCCTGGTACCAAAAACAAAATTTAAAAAGAAACAAAAAAATGCTAGATGCTGGACTGGGGTGTAGGTCAGTGGTAGGACACCTCCTGGCATGCACCAGGTCCTGGGTTCAATCCTTTGCACCTCAGGAAAAGGTTTAGGTGCCATGAGAAAAGAGGCTTCATCTGGCTCTGTGCTGTTAATAAGGGACAGAACAGCACCATGGGTGTGTCAGGTGTGTAACTGGTTCTCCACGGTGTCAAACCTAAGTCTCACCCTCTGCTTATAAAATTACTACCACAGAGACAGGCCCATCTCCATAACTCAGCTTCTAAACATCAGGCTTTTCAATTGGACTGAAAGTTAGAACATCTCCAGCTACAAATGGGGTTAAAGGCCTCTAGTAGGCAGAGCCAAGGGATCCTGCCAACCATCCTAACATGCACAGGGACCATCCCTCCCCACAAAGAGTTATTAGGCCCCAAATGTTGATGAAGCCATGGTTGGGAACTCTACTATAAAAGCAGAAACATTCCTGCCCTGAGTTAAAGCTCAATAAGAAAACAAAAAAATCTTAGCTGGGCGCAGTGGCCCATGCCTGTAACCCCAGCAGCTCGGTGCTGAGGCAGGAGGATCACAAGCTCAAAGTCAGCCTCAGCAATTTAGCGAGGCCCTAAGCAACTGAGCAAGACCCTGTTTCTAAATAAAATATTTTTTTAAAAAGGGCTGGGGATGTGGCTCAGTGGTTAAGAATCCCTGGGTTCAATCCCTGGTACCAAAACAAAACAAAATCTTTTTAGATCCATTTTTGAGCTTTATCTGAACAACTTCATGCCAAACTCTTGATACGTTTGATAATCAAACAACAGCCTTAATCCATGGCCTTAGATTTTCCCTGCAAACTTGATCAGCACCCCGAGCATCCAAATGTGTCCTTTTTTCCTGCATCACTGAAAGCAAACCGGCATCTAACAGGCAGCCTGCCCGCTGTGTGTTGCCTGCAGTACTTCTCCTCCTCATGCTGGGCTGCATCATCACCAGATTAATCACAGAGATGAAGACGATGAAACTGAACAGAGAAAGGAAACTGAACAGACTATAATATTTACTGGTTGATCCTGCTGAGGGGTCATAGCGACACAGCCTGAGGAAGAAACATGGACCGTGTCACACAGAAGACTGGAAGTCATCTAAAATCAAAAATGGCATCCTAATCCTCGGAATCTGATGTGTGGAGCGGCATCATGTTGCCTTTTGTCCTCGGGCAACGCACTGCAGTATCAAGTTTTACGACAGCGATGGGGTCAATTTAAATGGTGCAGCCAACAAATTGTCTGTGTAACTAGGAGAAGTGGATCGCAACAGTGCCGAATCGATTTCCTACTACAAGTCTGCATGCAGAGGTGGTAAAATTCGCTCTTCAGAACTGAAATATGGCTCTCGGAAGTCGGGTGTTTAGGTGGATTTTTTGAGAATGCACAGTTACTATAGTGACCATATTTGCAGAGAAGAAGATAAGAGGTACATTTATTAGAACTCCAAAAACCAACCCAGGTGGCTTGCAGCCCTACAGGAAACCTACTTGGATTACACACATTCGTCTGGACCAATGTTCGGATTTCTTAATCTTAAGCATCTCTGTCCGAGTTCTCATCAGAACAGATGGGCGGGCTCTAGGATAGCACAGAAACCAACCTGACCCACCGGAAGGGCACCGGCTCAGAAAACTCAGGGGATTGGAGCTTCCAGAGGGAGAGGAAAGAGACAAGGCCTACAAAAGGAAAACGAAACAGAGGAAGTGAACGATTCTCAAACCCAATAAATAAAACCAAATCCAGGACGGCCACCGTTGGGAGCCTTCTGGGCAAAACACCTTCATCTCCTCAGCTCTTTAGATCCTGGTGCCTTGAGGAGGGAGCATTCCTCTAAAAACTTGTGCACTCAGTGTTCAGGATTTGCAGTAGATGATGAATGATGCTGATCTCGTCTGTGACTTTGCCCCCAACAACAAAAAGCCAAAGGGGAAACCGCAGAAGAGTCCAAGGACTTCCTAAGCTTGGGAAGGAAATCTGCATTTCTCTTGTCCTTTTTCCGTTTTCTCCTTACCTCTATATGAGTATGCCATTATAAATCTACGCAACTTCCACCTTATTTTTTTTTTATTTTTTATTTTTTGGTACTGGGGATTGAACCCAGTGGCACTTAACCACTGAGCGACATCCCCAGCCCTTTTTATATTTTATTTTGAGACAGGGTCTCAGGGAGTTGCTTAGGGCCTCACTAAGTTGCTGAGGCTGACTTTGAACTTGTGATCCTCCTGCCTCAGCTTCCTGAGCCTCTGGGCATGCGCCACCAGGCCCGGCTCCACATCCTCTTACTTGGAAGTTTTCCTCAACGCTTAGTTTTAAGAGTGACAGAAAGGAACTGTGGATTGGAGGATGTTTCTAACCCTAACTCCCTCCACGACTGACTGCAATATTTTAACGAGATGTCAGTCACTGATGTCTAGAATCACCACCCCTGAGTCTTCCAACTTCCCACATTAAATAAAGGCTCCTGATATTACCCAGAGTGTACTTGAAGGCAATGTGTTTTAGACTAACGTGTTTTAGAAAGACTGCAACCAGTAAAGATGGGGACAAGAAAGAACTTCCGGGCTAACGCTTGCTTAGCCAGCAGCCCTCCTGCCTCCTGCCTCCTTCACGACACGTGGCTCGTCGGGGTTTTCACAAAAGCCCTGGACCAAACTAAACTTCCCCTCACCATCAGAACAACTCTCAGCTGGAGTCAAAAGTGCCCAGTAGGCCAGGCAGGCTCAGCGGAGGAGCACTTGCCCAGCTCACGTGAGGCCCTGGCCTCTGTCCCCAGCACCACGGCACACGGCATTGAGACCTATACACATACAGCCTTCAAGAGCATTCTCCTCCCCAAAGACACCCAACAGCATCACACCAACTCAGTACCTGGCAAAGAATGGCTTCCCCTCCGCAAGTTCCAAAAGGCACTTGCATGATCATCCTGTCCTTGTCCTCATTGTCCAGGTGGCCCTGGAGCTTTCCAGGGCTGAGCTGCTTCCCGGGGCCCTCCTCATAAACACAGCCACTGCTCAGAACGCTGAGCTTCACCTCGCTCTGGTCAGCCTTGGAGAAAACCAGGCTCTGGACTGTCTTCTGCAGCACACCCTTGCTTGTCACCTGCAAGCCATCAAACGTGAAGGATGAAGACAGGCCCAGTACCTTCCCTCCCTGAGAAAGATAGGCTAGGAACTTCTGGTACAGGTCTTCAGGGATGGGCTCCCTGGTGGCAATGACCAACAACAGACAGTTGTCTGGCCATGGGTCCCTGAGCACACTTTCCTCCTGCAGGTGGTACAGAACATAGCTGTCAGCGTCCACACAGTCAGCCAGGATGGCCCGCACCTGCTGAAGCCGCCCGAGGGCCTCCTGGGAGTCGGGGCCTACGTACAGAAGGATGTTGGGTGCCTTTCCCGTGATGTTGACTCTCCTCCCTTCTTCTTTAGGGCAGATCTCATCGGCAACACCCTCCAAACTGCTGCCATGATCATAGGGAAGGTCTGGAATGTTCTCTGCAGATGCAAACTTGACCGACTCAATGGTGCTATTCTCAAGCTCTAAGCATTCGTGGCAACTAGACAGGTGGAGGTGAAAATGCTCCAGAGGGCCCGCTCCCTGCTCACTGTCCCCAGGAGGCTCACTCCCAGAGGCACTGCCCCTCCTCGGCTTGGAAGAACCTTCTGGAAGAGAAGAACCTTCTGGAAGAGCCTTTGGGTCATCCTTGCCAGGGTGCTCCATAAAGTCCCGTGCAGGCTTGGTCTCCAGGGAGGGTTCAGGGTTTGGCTGTAGGACTTGGGCTTGCTTGTGTACAGCCTGATCCTTGAGTTCCTTCAGAGCAGAGTCTTGCAAGTGCACGGCTGGCATACAGGAAAAATCACAGAGGGCTCATCAGCACTTATTTGTCATGCAGCTGGCAAAAGAACCTCACCAGCTCTCCACATTCTGCCACCTATATTCCGGCAGAGCCACCAGCAAGCTCCCACTCACATCCCCACCTCAACTCTGGGCATCCCTGGGAGCCACACAATCGCTGCCACCAGCTGGAAGGGTGCTCCTGAAGACCCCCAGTGAAATTCCTGACTTCCACATCCTTACTACTCAAATCAGAACCCAGATCATCTTCTTGACTGGTGAATAAGGTGAGATTAAGAGAGGAGATTTTGCCTATTAGAGATTCAACTAGGCTAGGCTGTTATTCTCCTACATGACACTGAAACTGAGGAATAAAAAGGACACATTCACGAACCCTACCCAAGCATGCCCCAGGAGGAATCATGCACAGGACACTTCAGAGGATCTGGGAAAAGGTCTATCCAGTGCAACATAAGCTTACAATAACTAATCCAAAAAACAGGTATTTAGCGCTTTCTGCACATGGGACACGATATTAGGCACGTGTGCATGGTAAATCAGATTCCCAGAGCCAATAAGTGGCACTTACTTGCCCCTGAAACAAATGAAAGCGTCACAGACAGCAAGCCCACACACAAGCCTAAGGAAAGCAGGTCATGTGCTTCCTGAAAAAAGACCTGTCCAAAACTGTGAAATGCATATTTAAGTAAAAAGCCATTAGATTTAGAACTTCATGGTACAACTGGCTATTAATCTCTTTCAGTCAGAACTATAGGCGAGAACCATTATATTGTGTTATGTTATGTAAAATAAACACTATAAGTCATCCAATATGGATGCTATGTCACAGATATTACAATTATGAAAAGCCCTGGTTTTTAATTAAACACTAAAGATACATCCCCCGACCCCAAAAAACCTCAACACCTGTGTGAATCATATACTTTCCTCGTTAAATCAAATCAGTTTTCTGAATCAAACTAAAACCAAGCACTGCCCGAAGTTACACCAACAGCAGCACTCCAGAGTCCATATGCTGACAACCTAGGACGTTCCGCCACAGGATGGAAACATTTCCTAAAGTTACGTACAGACGATCTTTTGGGGCACCAGTCCATTATCCATCTGGAGTCTGTCTTCCATGAATGCCACTCCCAGCTTGCTGAAGTTGTCCACACTTGCTTCAGCAATTAGCTGGTAGGGATCCCCAGGTCTGCAGGCTAACGGCAAGCAGCAGTCAGACCACTTCACGATCTGGGAGGAAGCAGGTGAGAGGGGAGGATGGAAAAGAGAAGTTGAGCTTTTTCATTTCTAAAATGGCCAGACACCACATTCTTCCCTTTAGGCTCCTCACCACTAAATTACAGTCAGGTTTAGCAAATTACTGGACATTGCATTTTCTTAACATCAACGTTTTGCAAATATTCTCATTTCTACCAGACAACAGAGCTTACAAAACATGAATATAGCTTTCTCCTTTAAAAGTAACTGAGGTCTCAGCTGCTTTCAGGAACTGAAGGGGAAGGACCATTCCCCAGAATATGAAAAAACTGTCCTTTAGTGACTGGGTATAGGTGATAACAGCCAGTCCACAGCACCCAGCGGTTTAACATGCAACCTGTCGACCGGCTCTTCTCCAAGTGTGGCCCAAGGCCAAGTGCAATAGACCTACCTGGGAACATGCCAGAACCTCCAGTTCCTGACCAAGGCTCCCTACCTACTACTTTAGACTCCGGAGTTGACACTCAAGAATCAGGATTGTTCAAAAGGCCGCTCCATGATTCCTGCAGCATATACACATGGGAATGACCATCAGGCCCTCCACAGACAGTTCACATTCCCAACACAAGTGTTTCCAAAAGAATCTGGCACTGGGCCATGGAATACCTACAATCTCTCTGAGGGTTTCCAGTGAAGAGGGCGCCTGTTGGAGGGAGGGGCCGGCCCTGAGTCAAACCCCGCCCACCTGCCCCAAGACAAGCCTCAGCACTTCCCAGCTCCCTCCTTTGTAAAACAACCTCAATACCTACCATCTCATAGGCTTCTAGTGTTCCTGAGATTAACCAGCACACACAAGGCCTCCAAGCTTGGGGCTGAGGGAAGTGCTCAATCAATGAACGCTGCTTCTGTTAGTGAGCACCTGGCTCCAAAGGCACTAGTGAGCATCCTAGTTTCCTTCTAAGATGCCATGAATGATCCCCTACTCTCCAAAATCGTCTTGTCAGGGATATACGTCCCCAAATTCATAACCAGAGACAGATCATTGTGAGTTCCATTTTTTAAGGTGGGTGGGCTATGATTTTAGAACTTCTAATGAAAACTAGGAAAAAATGCTGGATTAAATGAATAAAATATCACCTTAAAAGTACTGAAGGACTGTCCAGATAATGCCAGACCAAGTGCTAGGATAAATTCCAACCTCCAGAAATGAGAGGGACTCCCACAAGTCAATCCCCGTCTGCCCTGAGAGGACCTACTACCCAGGAAACTTGGGCTCCAAAAGTCGAGGCCCAGCTGGCTTGAGGAAAGATGCAGAGAGCAACAGAACAGAACTGAGAGCACAGAAATAAAATCACCTACGTGTGAAAGCTGATTTTAGACAAGGGCACCAAGATGATTCAGTGGGAAAATAAGTCTTTTCAAGCTTCTGGTACAAACGCTGCTGGTACAACAGGGTATCCACTTGCAGAGGAATGAAGATGGGCCTACCTACACCAGGGATGGAAAACTATCAAACCAGATCAAAGACCTCAATTTAGGAGCTAAAACTACAAAATTCTCAGGAAAAAACAGGCGGGAATTGTCAGAACCTTTGACAGACAATGGTTTCTTCGATATGATCCCCAAAGTCCAAGCAACAAAATAAAACAATAAAATGAACTTCAATCATTTTTGTCCTTCAAAGGACATTATCAAAAAAGTGAAAAACATAGAAAAATAGGAAAAAATATTTGTGAGTTGCCTAAGAATTCCTACAACCCAACAATAAAGAGACAATCTAATTTTAAAATGGCAAAGGACTTGAACTGACATTTCTCCAAAGAAAGCACACAAATGCCAATAAGCACATGAAAAGATGCTCCAGTGTCATTAAGGAAAGGCAAACCAAAATCACAATGAGATACCACCTTCAAACCACCAGTGTGACTATAAGAAAAAACACATAAACCGTAACAAGTGCCGAGGATGAGGAGAAGCGGGAACTCTGACCCACTGCTAGTGGAAATGTCAAGTAGTGCAGCACTTGGGAAGGGTGTGAGTTCCTGAAAAGGTTAAATGCAGAGTGACTACAAGATCCAGCAATTCCACCCCCCAAGTGTATATCTAAGAGATTAAAAAACATGCCCACACAAAAACACCTGTGCATAGATGTTCCCAGCTGCATTATCTCTAATAGCAAAAGCAGAAGCAATCCAAAGGTCCTTCCACAGGTGAAGAGATAAACCAAATGCACAAAGCATGCTATGGAGTATCAGGCAGCCATGGAAAGAATGAAGCCTCACACCTCTACAGCACAAAGGCACCTGGAGTATACCACTCCAAGAAGCCCGTAACTAGAGGTCACATAGGAGTCTGCTTACACAGAACATTTAAACAGGCAAATCTATAGTTAGAAAGCAGGTGAGTGGTTGCAGGGGCAGGGACTGACTGCTGATGGGCACATGAATTTTTTTTTTTTTTTGGGGGGGGGGTTGTAATGAAAATGTTCTGGAATTAGATATTGGTGATGGTTGCACAACCTTGTGAGTATACCCAAAACTACTGAACTAAATGAACTGTATGTATCCTTTAGAAGGGAGGACTTCACAGTGTATAAATTATATCTAAAGAGAAGAGTCAAGGCAGTGCACTTGTTTCCACACCCAGACTTGAATCCTGGCTCCTCTGGTTAATGGTCAGGTGGCCTGAGCAAGTCACTCAACTCCTCTGAGCTTCGACCGCCTGTCTGTGCGATGGAGGTGAAAAGAACTGACCTGGGAAGGTTACTGGGAGAACCAAATAGAATAAACCATCCGGTGAGATGCCTGGTTCAAAAGGAGGTTCTCTTATTCCAAAACATGAAGTCCTCAGAGCAAGTCTGTCAGTGGACAAAAGCTGGTTCTTGGGAGAAGGAGTGGAAAAAATCTTAGCTACTGCAGTGGTTCAGGGCACCACCAAAGCTCAACCCTGCCCCACAAACTCTTGTTCCTTGGTCTTTTGTCTCTCTCTTTAGAAGTGAAATTTAATTTTTCTCCTTAGAGGAAGGTTGGGAAACACTGGCTTAGGATAAGAAATAATAAATGTAGGCCCTTATGTGCAACCTAATAATGGTCTAAATTACTTGGAGAAAGAAACCCAGGATTTTCTTTCAGCTGTATTCATATCCTCCCTATATTCATATCCTCCCTGTATTCATATCCCCCCCTCTCCTGCCACCTCCTGACCCAGAGCCAGTGCAGCTGGTAGGATTGGGGAGCGGGGCCAGCCTGACCACCAGCCTTTGGGCAGAATCTACATTTTCAAAACTGACATTAGATGCAGGGTGAGAGTTGGAGTTTGCTACTTGGAAAAAAGTCTGCGTTGATCTCCAGCTATGGGAGTAGGGAAAGGACTTGGATTGAGGAGGAAGGGAAGATAAGCTGTCGCCTGGCCAGGGCAGGCTTTTCAGAGGAGGCTGAGTGGGGAATATGCGAGGGGGGAGCTCTTGTAGCCACAGCTACGGAGAGGGAGCACGGGAGCGTGAGCCAACAGGAAGCCAGCCAGATTCAGTGATTCAAACACTGAGTCAGCACCCTGCTCTGGCAGGAGCCAAGGATTAAATTCTCACACACCTCAGAAGGAGGAGAGGTGCTGGAGACAAACAAAGGAAGGAAGGGCAGAAAGAGGCCAAAGAGCAACATCCACACATCCCTGATCAAGTTTCTCAGCCTGCAATTGTGACCTCACCTAAGTGCGCTTCCTGTCTCTAGGAACGCAATCCCTGAGCCACAGACCATGCGAACTCCTTCAGGTAGCGCTGCGTGCTCTGATCAAAGTGAAGCCGCACTGTCACTGATACTTCGTCCAGGGGTGGGGGGATCTGCTTTCCAGCGGTTAAAAGCAAACAGGACACTTCAAATTTGCTCTATGAGACAGAGACAAAGGGGTAGAGAAAGAAAGAAGTCGTCAAGCAGAAGCTTACTCCCAAAGATCAAAGCTAAGGAAGCCCTGGCTGCCCCTAAACCAAGGGATTTCCTCTTACAAGCAGCATGCAGAAATCTGTTCCATGACCAGAGCTCTGGACTTGACATTACAACGTATGACTGCACACGTGAGCACCTGCTCCACTCAACTCAAAACTCCTGTCCAAGATGCCCAGGAAGACAGAGGTTAAATCAGCAGGTGTGACCCTTCCCAGCTGCAGTTGGCAAGCTGAAGTCCAGCTGCTGCAGGAACAGAAAACTCAACAACTCATTGCACTGCTCAGAGCCAGATAAGGGATGCTGCTAACTTCTCTGTTATTTCTCCACTTAAGAATCATTTTAATGCATGTTATTTGGCCAAAAGTTCTAGTGATTGATTAGAGGAAAGGAGGGCAGGACAGAGGGAGGTGAAGGACTTGAAGTCATGACACCAAGGAGGAGGCTGTCTCGGGCTCTCAGGTTTGGCAAAGGGATAAGAGTGCTACCAAAATTCATTTCCAGTTTCATTGAGTTAAAAAAAAAAAAAAAAACAAAAAAACCACCCTATGGAGCTTTTAAGAAAAAGGTACTAGAAAATCAAGTACCAGCAAAAGGGTTATCACACTCCACAGCAAGCAAGAGCTGAAACGATGAACTGACCCAGGGAGAATGTGAAAGTGGAACTTCAAGGCCAGGACTGACTAGGCACTCAAGGGAAAAGGCTGGTCTGGCTCTTCTGATTTTCTCAAGAACTGAGAATTGATACGAAAATCATAGAAATACCCTTCTGGTCACACACCTTTCGGTATTGTGTTCTCTGGTCCTACAGGCACTAGAGGCCCACCATCCAGGTGTGCTGTGTTAGCATTCAGTGAAGCTCTCCCCCCTTCACATCCCCATCCCACTGGCGTGAGCTGAGGAAGATCCAAGTTTTAAGAGAGATCCCAAGTGGTCTGGTTATCTGTTGCTGGGTAACAAACCAGCCCAAAATTTAGTGGCTTAAAATGAATCATTTATATTGCTCATGAGTCTCAACTGGGACAGGATCAGGCAGGGACAGCTCAACCCTGCTCCACGTGGCATCAGATAGGGTGGCTCAACTGGGTACAAATGATCAACTCCAGGATGGCTCCTGCAGAGCTGGCCAGTCGGGGCCTCCTGTCAGGTGAAGCTCAGCCAGTGCTGTCCTCTGAGGGCCTCGGTTCTTCTGGATATGGGTCTAGCCACAGGGCAGCTTGAGCTTCCTCATGGCATGGGAGCTGGGTTCCATGACAGACTATTCTAAGAACCCAGGGAGAAGCTGAAGATTCTTAATGATCTAGCCTGGAAAGTCCCAGAATATCACTTCTGCCATATCTCATGGGACAAAGGAAACTGAAGTCAGTCCAGATTTGGTGAAGGGGGATACGGAAGGAAAGGATTGGCAGCCATCTTCCATCTACTACACCAAGTTTTTGCCAGCTCTCAGTATTTGCCTCTGTGTGAGAATGGCATGTCCCTAAACGACATGCTTCCTCAGCCTGGGTCCCTGCACGAGAAAGACTCATAGCAGAGCCTACAGCAAAGTCACCTCTGGAAACACCCAGCAGTGAACCTGCCGAGCCTGGGTGTAACATGACTGAGAAACGAGGGCTTATGTCAGGAGAGACTGGGATCCTAAGGCTATGGGTTATGTCAGCAAAGCTGACCAATACAACGTGCAAACTGCATTCCCTACAACGACCACTCTAGCGGTCCTTCCTGCTGCACTTCCAGTCTCGACAAAAGACCCACCATCCACCCACAAGCCATCATGTCCTCAACAGCTGGTGCATCTCTCTCCATCTCACCAGTCCCTCTTCCGGGTCATTATGTTTCCCATGGGGACAACTGTTGTAGGTTTGCTCCATTCTCTAACCTGCCTGAATTGTGATCCTTCTAAAGTACAAATATGATCATTATGCTTTTTAAAAAATGGTTTTAGCCTACTGAACCTAGGATAGGACCCAAATTCCTAATTAATACATATAAGACCTTTTTGATATGTAAATTATGTGTATTCACCCTATCATTTAAGAACATTCAATTCTGCCACAGAAAACAAGTAAAGCAAATAGCATGAATGAAACTTATAGCATCCATTAGGACATTGTCAGAAACTTGCATGACCTGCTAAAGACACACAAAATCAGTGGAATGTATGTGTGTTGGACATGGATAAAAAGGACAGGACAAAAGGGAGTATTACTTGTAGGCATGGAAGGACCAGGTGTAATTCTGAAATATTAGGAAGACACAAATTGTGCCACTTCCAAATTGGCCTTCACGTCATTCTTATGTGGGCCAACCATCTCGGCCCATGCACATTCTGCCTGAAAACACAGAAAAAATGGCTGGGGTTGTAGCTCAGTGGTAGAACACTTGCCTTGCCTCACATGGTTTAAATCCTCAGCATCACATAAAAATAAATAAATAAAATAAAGGTATTGTGTCTATCTACAACTAAAAATATATATTTTAAAAAAAAACATAAAAAACACAGCTTCTTAGCAGATCACTGGTAAGCCACAGCTACTACAGGCACACATGCCCAAGACTCTACAGATGTCACCTACAGACACTGTCCATCTGCTGAGCCCCTTCTTTAACATAACCTCTGGTCCTGGTGACAACACCGTTGGCAAGAAATGCTGACGCAGCAGGAGGGCAGCAGGACCCGTGAAGATCCCCCAGCCCAGGCTTCAAGTGTGTGTTCCTTCCATCCCAGAGGCATCCAATGCAAAGTGTTAACTGACCCAAGATCTCTCCTGTTTCTTTTCTTTTTTTAAAATTTTTTAGTTGTAAATGAACACAACACCTTTATTTTATTTACATATATTTATGCAGTGCTGAGTATGGAACCCAGTGCCTCACACATGCTAGGCAAGAACTCTACCACTGAGCTACAGCCCTAGCCCTCTCTGTTTCTTGCTGCATGTTTTGAATTTTCTTAGTAAACCATGGTTGGAGCATCTGAACTTAGTCTGCAGCCTCTCTTATTCGGTGGTGGCTGGGAGAGCCTACCTGGCCCTGTCCTTGGAAGCTATCAGTGCATCAAGGTACTTTCCCACAAAACACTCCGGCCCCACCTTTTGCCCCTGGCCTCCCCTTGGGCCACTCCCAGTCTCAGATCAACAGATTCCAATCCTACTGAGCCCAGGTGCTGCTCCATCTAGAAAGCCCTTTCCTTCTTCACCTACAGCTGACTTCCCCCTGAAACTCAGCTATCACTTCCCCCTGGGAAGTCCTTCCTGACCTCCCCTCATCAAAATAGCCCCCAGCCACTCCCTGTGTCTGCCTTCCACAGCTCCAAGCATTTGTCCCTTTGCTTGGCTCTCTGCCCTCCCACACCAGGAGTTCCTTAAGGACAGGGACATCATCTCTGAACGCATCTATGTCATCTCTATATGACATAGACCTCCAGCCCAGGCACACCATCTGATATATAGGAGGTATTCAATAAATTGTGAACTAATGGATGAGGCCTCGGCTGGACACATGACCCAAGGGAATATGTTGCAACAAAAGTTGTGTGTAAGTGGGCTGGGGTCATGGCTCAATGGTAGAGTGCTCGCCTAGCATGCATGAGGCACTGGGTTCAATACTCTAGCAGTCAGAGAAATGCAAATCAAAACCACCCTAAGATACCATCTCACTCCAGTAAGATTGGCAGCCATTATGAAGTCAAACAACAACAAGTGCTGGAGAGGATGTGGGGAAAAGGGTACTCTTGTACATTGCTGGTGGGACTGCAAACTGGTGCGGCCAATCTGGAAAGCAGTATGGAGATTCCTGGGAAAGCTGGGAATGGAACCACCATTTGACCCAGCTATTGCCCTTCTTGGACTTTTCCCTGAAGACCTTAAAAGAGCGTACTACAGGGATACTGCTACATCGATGTTCATAGCAGCACAATTCACAATTGCTAGACTGTGGAACCAACCCAGATGCCCTTCAATAGATGAATGGATAAAAAAAATGTGGCATTTATACACCATGGAGTATTACGCAGCACTAAAAAAATGACAAAATCATAGAATTTGCAGGGAAATGGATGGCACTAGAGCAGATTATGCTTAGTGAAGCTAGCCAATCCCTAAAAAACAAATACCAAATGTCTTCTTTGATATAATGAGAGCAACTAAGAACAGAGCAGGGAGGAAGAGCAGGAAGAAAAGATTAACATTAAACAGATACATGAGGTGGGATGGAAAGGGAGAGAAAAGGGAAATTGCATGGTAATGGAGGGAGACCCTCATTGTTATACAAAATTACATATAAGAGGTTGTGAGGGGAATGGGAAAATAAACAAGGAGAGATATGAATTACAGTGGATGGGGTAGAGAGAGAAGATGGGAGGGGAGGGACGGGGGATGGTAGAGGATATGAAAGGTAGCAGAATACAACAGTTACTAATAGGGCATTATGTAAAAATGTGGATGTGTAACCGATGTGATTCTGCAATCTGTATTTGGGGTAAAATTGGGAGTTCATAACCAACTTGAATCTAATGTATGAAATATGATATGTCAAGAGCTTTATAATGTTTTGAACAACCAATAAAAAAAAATAAAAAAAATAAAAAATACTCAGCACCACATAAAAATAAAATGAAGATATTGTGTCCACCTAAAATTTTTAAAAAATATTAAAAATAAAAAGGTTTGTGTAAGTACTCTGTGTCATCAATTCTTACAAAAGGGGACTGCTAACATAATTGAGAATGGAGCTGAATCTGCCATCACCTTTGGTATTTATTATTGCACCTGGCAAAATAACTAGATTTGTTAATGAACAAATAAGTGAAAATATGAATATGTGAATGCTACATTTTTAAAGCTGAATTCTTTTGCTGGAGGTCTATTGAAGGACTGCAAATCAAAACCATTTGAGATATCCAGAATTTAAAAAGATATCATCATAAATGTGAGAGAAGTAAGATCCCATCAGATTCAAAAGCTTTTCTTAGTTATATTTCTTAGGTATATTCTTCCTATTTTCTATTTAATATCTTAGGACCCTGTGAAAGTCAAATGAGTTCAGAATTGTGTGAAATATACATGCATAGTTCCTAAGAGCCCCCCAAAAGGCAAAATCCCATCGAGCAATCAACCTGAATAGGAGCTGCAGGCTTGATGAGAAGACAGTGAGCTACGAGATCAACCCTTCTTCAAGTTATTAAGCCCAGCTTATAAAAGGAAGCTCCACACCACAGCCAGGGTTGTCAAAAGAAAGGCTGTAGGTGTCTCCAGCACCTTCGTGCAAGACCCACCAAACTCTCCAGCCATAAGTAAAACAAGTGAACTGGAAAGCGGCAGTCTGCCTCAGTGCACAGACGTCTTTCACCCCAGAAAGTTAAGAGTCAAGTAACCACCTCAGAAAGTAGGTGAAGGGAGATGATAACTGGGCAGAGATGCTAATTATGTCCCAATACCTAGTCTTCCCTTCTCCCTGCCTGCTGGTAACAGACCTGTGCGTGTCCCTGAGGGAATGCGTTTGCTATCCTCCCCTGCAGCTAAGTGCCCAAGGGCACCCTATGACTAAGTTCTAGGCAATCTGGTGGGAACAGAAGTGGCATGAGAAATTTCTGGATAACAATTTCAAAGAGGAAGTTGGTTGTCTTCCACTTTCTCTCTTCCTCTATTCTGCAGGCTACCACGTGGATGAAGGTGACACTGGTGGAGTAGCAGGAGAGGGCAGGAGCCAGCCTCCACTTCAAGAAGCTGTCTATCAATCACCAGGACAGCAGAGCAACAAGGCAAAGGAAACCCAGCCCTTGGATCAACACTCAGAGCAGAACCACTCCAAGAGAGAAATTAACTTCTAGTTTGCTTGAGCCACTGTAGTTTTGGATTTCTTTGTTATAGCACCTTAGCCTGAACCCCACATAATACGGTAACTTTGTTTCTTAAGATACTGCATGTCATTTTACCCCATAAGTAATTAAAAATTAAGAAATTAAAATATAGCAGTTAGGGGCTGGGGGGTGTAGCTCAATGGTACAGCATGTGCTCAGCATGCTCAAGGCCCTAGGTTCAATCCCCAGCACCAAAATCAAAAAAAAATAAATACATAAATAACAGCAGTTATATATATTTTTGTGTTAAGAAGAATCTGTCCATATTTGATATTATATGTAATTATAATATTTTGGAAATCCTAGCTTCGGTTTTAAATTAAAATCTAGTAAGATTGATAAGTAATATTAAAATATATTATTTTTCTAATATATTAAAATATATTAGAAAAACTTACCATATTTATACACTTAATAACACATAAGAGTTACGTAAGTGTTCAGAAAGGTGGTGTTTACTCATCCAGAAAACTTACATATCTAAAAAGAAGCTGAGGGAAGGAAAGGTGAAGCCAGGGGAGGGAGCAGGTGGGTGGACTCCATTCAGGACCCACACAGGTACATATTCCAGCTTCTATATTAAGGGATGGGTTCAAGGGAATTTATATTACTTCAAATTCATGAGCGGATGAGGACCACGCATAAACCAAGTAGGAGGTCACATTCTTCACAGGATTATAATCAAGCAAATTCTCTGCAGTAGAGTTTAAAAATACTTCAAAACACTTGGGTCTGTAAGGAGAATAAATATTATTCAAAAATCCCTTTAAAAGTGATGACAAGGGCTGGGGCTGTAGCTCAGTGGTAGAGCGCCTGTCTTGCATGTGTGAGACACTGGGTTCGATCCTCAGCACCACACAAAAATAAATAAAGTCTTTTTTTTAAAGTGATGACAAAATTTTTGCTGAACTTATAAAAATGATAAGCTGGATTTAAAAGCTAAAAGGACAGGTTCTCATGAGACATGGACTAGCTGGGCTAGGTAGCACACACCTAGCCTGTAATCCCAGTAACTGGGGAGGCTAAGGCAGAAGGACCACAAGTTCAAAGCCAGTCTCAGCAATTTAGCAAAGCCCTAAGCAACCTAGTGAGATCCTATCCTGTCTCTAATAAAAAATTAAAAGGGCTGGGGATGTGGCTGTGGTTAAGCACTCCTGAATTCAATCCCTGGTACCAAAAAGAGAGAGAGAGCGAGAGAGAAACGTGGACTCTTCCAAAGTTTAAAAAAAAAAAAGTCAAATATCAGCAATTTAATTCAAATCTACCTAATTGATCATTTGTTATTTAAGTTGGAAATCATCCTCTAAAAAAGTTCATAGTCTTTTCTGCCCACCAAAAAAACACCTTATCTCACCAAAAAACTTTACTTCAACCACTGGTGTCTTTCTGCCTGATGCAGGAAAACAACTGTGGGTCCTGCTTGACTGTCTTTGGGTCAACAAAAGCTTCGCTACTCTCGAACCTCAATGCCCCACATCGCTTCAAAACCATCCGTTTGCTCCTCCAGCTACTAGAAGGACATGAACATTGGCTAAAACTTAGTCTACCCTGAGCAGCTGGTGGCTTTAGACACGTCTTTAAATCTTACAACTTCATTTTCTTATCTTTAAAATGACAACAATAATACTTTGCAGAGTTGTAAGCATTAGAGCTCATGTATGCAAAATACCTATCAGGGGCTCAATAAATGGCATCATTATTACCATAAGTATATGTAATGCTAAACAAGACTTTATGGATGGTCCAGAGAGAGCACACACTGGCCTGCTGTTGGGTCACCTGTCAAATCCTCCCAGTCTTCTGAGTCTCAGCTAGTCTCCTTCCCTCATTTACTATCTCCAGCTCATCTTTTGGTCAATCTTGAGTTCTAGTGAATTATTTCTTTTCTTACTCCCCATTCTCTTTCCTTTCCTCTCATCCTAATACAGTGTCTTAAGGACAATGTTCAGGACAAGAATCCAGCAACACAGCAGTCATCAGCAGAATGCCTGCTGGACAACCTGCCCATTGTAGCTCAGTGGTAGAGCGCCTGCCTTGCATGTGGGTGAAGGCAGAAAGACAAGACTGACTCATCAGAGACACAGGGGAAGCAGACCAGCACCCAGAGCTTCCGCAAGAGGGTCCCAGCTGGAAGTGTGTCTGGGACGGTGACTCTGGCCATCGAGAGGAAACCCAAAGAGAGGAAGACATCTTCACAGCGTAAAGAGAAGACACTGAAGATGACAGTGAACTCAGGAGCAACTGCAATGAAGGTGCAAAGCCGTGACCTCTGGGGAGTGACATCAGTGGAACTTGGAACTCAGTGAAAGTTAGGAGCAGGTAAGAGGAAGAGTATATTCGGATGTTAATTGGGGACTTTTTTTTTTTAAACAGAACATAAACAAGTTTGGACATGTGACTGAGTTTGACATATTTTCAGAATCCTCACGGTGGGATGTCTACAGATGTAACCCAGCCATTCAGGCTGTCTGCGGGAGTGAGAAGACGTAGGGAGAAACCAACTGGCCAGGAAGAGGGCACGGAGCAATGCTGTCCCAAATGAACACAATGTAAGCCACAAAAAAAGTCATACACATGGTTTGAAATTTTCTAATAGTCACATTAAAAAAATAAGAATAAAGAGGTGAAAGAAATTACACCAATACATTTGATACAATCCAAAATATCCAAAAAGATAGCAAGTCACCTACAAAAGCTAGGGAAGATCACTCATGAAAAAACAAACTTGGTTAGGATTAAGACACGTATAGAACTAAATGACACACAAGAAAAAAAAAAACATAGTACTCACTGTTTCAGAAGATGGTCTCTGTAAACTGTCACCTTGAACCCAAATGCTCTCTGTCACAAATGCTATGTGTTCTGCTTCAAGTATAAAGGGAGAGACAAGAAACAGGGCCCATTTGTTCAAGTCATCAATGGACTGCACAGAGGGAGAGAAACATAGAGGATTCAGTGTCACTTCAAACCACAACTGCCACTTATCTCAGCATGCCTGACATACCGCCCCTCTGCAATTCCAGGTAAGATCTACCTAAGGTTATCTGATGCTCTTCTGCAGACATTAACCCTGTGCTTCTTGTTTAAGCGTGACTGTTCAAACAGCCCCAAAGCCCTCTGAGACTCTTGACAGCTTTAAAGTCTCTGGATATTTGTTTTCACACAATTAATTCTGACCACCATTGCTTACAGATTAGCACATAGTTTTCCAAATCACATTTGAGGCACATTTAAGAATGAGGAGGTCTGGAAGAGCCTGCCTGGCTACTGCAGTCTTAAGACCTGGTCCTTCATTCCCACGGGCACCAGGCCTGTCAGCACAAGGCAGCTGTCCTTTGTGCTTGCATTACTCATACTGAAGTAAACTGTTCTTTCCCCTGAGACCTGGGAAGTGCATAATCGTTCTGAAACTCACAAAACAGTCAAACCCAGGGCGGAGGGTGTAGCTCAGTGGTACAGCACTTGCCTAAAAGGCATAAGGCCCTGAGTTTGAAGCCCAGCATTGCAAAAAATAAAATAAAACAAATACAGAGATAAGATAGGATATTTCTGGGAAAGACCCTTACCATATGCAAAAAAGCCATCAAACATATTTTAGAGAAAATGTAAATTCAAGAGTGATTTTAATTTAGCTTTTTTTTAAAAAAAAAATATCTTTTTAGTTGTAGATGGACACGATCTTTATTTATTTATTTTTATGTGATGCTAAGGTCCAAACCCAGTGCCTCATGCATGTAAGGCAAGTGCTCTACCACTGAGCTACATCCCCCGCCCTAATTTAGCTTTTTTAAAAGGAGATTATAGTCAAGATTGGTCAGCAGATCAGATATGGTCCCACTGGGCCCTCCTTATCAGTGGTTCTACATCCTGGACTCAAACCAAAAAAAAAAAAAAGAAAAATAATTAAATCTATACTAAACAAGAACAGACTTCTTTTGGTCATTATTAGCTAAACAATGCAGTTTAGGTAATAACAATAATATAGTAACAACCCCTTACACTATATTAGATATATCATATATATTGATCTGGGGGCTGAGGATGTGCTCAGGGGTAGAGTACTTGCCTAGCATGCATAAGGTCCTGGGTTCAATCCCCAATACCACCAAAAAATAAAAAAATAAATTAAAAGATTTGAATATAAGGAAGATTTTTTGCATAGTAGGCAAATACCACATCCCTTTATATAAGGGACTTGAGCATCTCTGGATTTTGGTGCCTTATTTTTGGTGGGCTAATGCCTTTTTAAATTAATTTGTTGTTCTTTAGGAAGCATTTAAACAAAAAAAAAACAAAAAAAAAAAACTTTTTAAAAGGTTTTTTTAGCCTACCAAAAACAAGACACATATGGGGGGGGGGGGACGAAAATCCAAGGCTTCTGGGGGAAGCCTTATCACCACCACCACCACCAGCCACAAAAAGGCTCCAATCCCCAACAGAGGAGCCATATCTCAGCAAAACTAACAGTGTAAAACGGATGCACAGCATGTTACAGAATCCCTGAAAGCATCAGATCACTACCGCCCAGGGCTCAAGGGGTAGGCAAGAGCAGAAAAATTAGTTGATTTAGTTAACCAAGGCCCAATAACATCATGAAAATGTTCCGAAGTAAAACTGCCTAAAAAATTAAAACATTTACATCTCAAATTTCGTGTATATTAAAAATTTTACTCTAAACTCTTAAGAATATATTTTAAATAAATTAAGTCTAGAAGCTGCTGCAGTAGTAAAATCCACTCTGTAATTATTCTTCATTTTATTTTTCTCAACCAGGTTTCCTAAGGTGGCTACTGGATGTAATGAACTTCCCCCCTTGGGTCCAGGTGGTACTTGGGTGGTACTCGTTGTGTACATTCCTAGGAAGAACTGAGAGAACCCGTTCAGTGTGTATACTATATTTTTTTAATCTAGGGTGTCCTTTATTTGCTACCGGTATTCCACACCTAAGCACAGGCACAACAGAATGTTCAACACTGAGACAAGATTTTGATTCTCTCATGGGTGTTGTGATTTTACCTACGTTTAAATAATTTTTTAAAATCTCATTTTAATGCTGAAAGTGAGCCAACTTTCCAGACGGAAGAGGAAAAAGCAAAAACTAAAAGCAAAACTCTTCTCAGCGTTAGTGAAAGCGGTATTGCGATGCCCACGGCAATCTGCTTAGTGGTGCACTGTGAAGTCCACTTCCCAAAACAGCTGCCTGGAAAGAACCACAGTCCCTTGTCTCAGCAAGGGCGCGTTTTTTACAGCGATTACACGGCAGGCCCACGCCACTGTAGGTGACTGGGCCGGCTGGACAGTGGCCACCGTCCCAAGTACGGGGCCCGGAAACAAAGACCGAGCGTCGGCCGAAGCGCTGAAGATGCAGAGCGGGCTGCCGAGAAGATGCAGAGCGCACGGGACACGTCCGGACCCCGGCAGGGACGAGCCTCCTGCCGCGCTCAGGTCCCCCAGAGGCCGCCCACCGCGGGACGGGCGTCCGCGCGCGGCGCTGCGGGGAGGCCGGGGTCCCGGGCCCGCGCGCCCCGCCCGCCAGGCTCGAGCGCTGCGACGGCGCTTCCGGCCCCGCCCCGCGCCCCCCGCCCGCCCACCTGGCTCTCGCCGACGCAGAAGACGCGGCCGCCGCGGCTCAGGCACACGCGCGCGCCTCCGGGCCGCGCCGCCGCGCCACAGAAGGTGAAGGAGCAGCGCGAGGCGCGGAGCCGCCGCACCGTGGTGCGCACGAGCGCGGCCGGCCGGCGCCCCCAGCGCGCCCACAGGTACAGGTAGCACAGCGTGATGAGCATGGCCGGCGCCCGCGGCCCGGGAGGCTCGCCCGCCGCGCTCCGCCCCGCCGGCCGGCCGGAAGAGGCGCGCCGCAGACAGGCTGCGCGGGCGGGGGAGCGCGGGCACCGCGAAGGGACACCGCGCGGGGCGAGCGAGGCCGCGGAGGCCTCTGGGGCGGGTACCTGAGTGCAGTGATGCAGGGAGAAGCCCCCACGTGGGAGGTGTGCAGGGTCGGGGAGGTCAGGACCGGGAGGGTGTCTGGGTAAAGAGACTGCAGCCGGAGGGGCCTGGGAATTGGGGAGGGCTGGCCAGCGCAGAAGGTGGGGTGGAAAGGAGGCTGCTCCAACGAGGTGGGATGACAGGCTTCTGGGAGGCTGAAGCTGCACCCGCGGAAGGGATCCAGGAGGTGGTGGAGGCCATACCGTGGGTGGAGGGACAACGCAATGGAAGGGCCAGGTAGAGGCCCTGGAGGTTGGAGTAATAGAAAAGGGAGGTGTTCTGGGGAGGGGGAGTGTGATAGCTCGGATGGTTGGGGGGTTGTTATATTCCCAGTGGATGCTGGACCTTATGAAGCAAAGGCCAGTCTCCCTTAGGGATGGCGATAGATAAGGAAGGCGCTCAACACATATTTCTCACAAATAGCCAAAATTTGCTAATCAGTACCATACCAGGAATCAAAAGAGCTAACACAACCTCCACCCAATCCAGCTAGGGAAATGAGTGAGGCAGTTTTTATTAGATGATGTTAATCCTTCATGCATGCAAAAAGGGATATAGGGAAGTTTACAAGAACTGACATAATGTAATAATTTTCTCTTTTTAAAATAAGAGCAGGGAACAGAAGTTGAAGACCAGTCAGCACCAAAAAGGCTGTACAAGGTGCTCTTGCCACATGTGGGTCACCAATGTGTGACCAGCAGAAAGAGGAAATATCAGTTATGATTCACAGTGTTCTTGTCCCACGAGGAATCATAATTATTACTATTACTGACAGGTTTCTCCTGTAGAACCTCACTTCCTCAAAGGCAGTCTGTCACCAGTATCCTGGACACTTTTGAAGTACAGCAAAGATCTTGAGTTGTTTGCTATCTTGGCCCTAAGAAGGTGGCATAATGCAGTGAAAACAATTAGGTCCACCCACTCCTAAATCTTTACTTAACTAAGGGTGGGTTTTTAAAGTACCCTGACCATTTGTCCATCTACTTTAACACAGCAGTGTAGAATACCCACTCTCAGAACCCCAGACTTCTGGTCACAGGATGTAGTAGTTCTCTCCATTGCACATAGCAATAATAGGTTTAAAAACAGAGTCTAGAAAGAAATAACTGGGCTTAAAAACAAAATAAGCATTGCTGTGGACCAGAAATAGAAGTCACAGTGATGAGCAGAGGACTGAAGTATATCCTGCACCTCCCTATGGGACATCACTGGAGAAGGAAATGAATGAGTCCCTCAAGGAGGGACTCAGCCCCTTCATGATAACTCAGGCTGTAGGTCAGAAATTAGTGATTAAAAGGGGTTTACCAGACTTATAAATCCTAAATGTTTCACTTTCAGAAGCTTCCTTAAAGTTTGCTGGATTACAGTGGGAAAGAGGCACCTCCTCACCCTCCTAGAGATGGATAGGTCATCTACTCCTCCTGAATGTCACCAACATCCCCAGTCTTTCCAAGTACTTTAAGGGTCTTGCAACCTCAGCTTCCCACAGACTTATGGAAGCTACCCAGCTCTACCTGCAGATGTTTCAAGATGTCATGGTCTCAGAACATGGGAAAATAACATTTTGGAGTCAATCCTATATATCAATTCCAGGTTATAAGGAATGGGGACCATCATGGTTCAACGTGATTAAGAAGTGGGTGAGCCCCCTTTCTAACATGTGATTTGAAGAACACTAATTTTTTTCTTCTTCTTTATTTATTTATTTATTTATTTTATTAGGAATAGCACCTGGGTCACTTTACCACTGAAAAACACCCCCCAGCCCTTTATATTTTTTGAGATGAACTTGCTAAGTTGCTGAGGCAGACCTCAAACTTGACATCCTTCTGCCTCAGTCTCCCAAGTTGCCGGGATTCCAGGCATGCACCACTGTACAAGGCTTGAAGAGCACTGATATTACTCACTCCTAGGGAAGCAATAGAGGAAGGAAGATAC